GTTCCAGAGGGCCGGAGCTGCCACAGAGAAGACCCTCCCCCAGGTAGTAGCCAGGTGGCATTGGCTAGTAGACGGAACCCAGAGGAGGCCAACCCTGTGTGATCTAATGGGTCTTTGGGAGGTAATTGGCAGCAGGCGGTCTCTCAAATCTGTTTTTGTTTTCCCCTATATTTTAATTTTTTATTTTACTCTTGTATTTGTAAGCCGCCCGGAGTCCTACGGGATTGGGCGGCATATAAATTTATTAAATTACTAATTACTAATTATTGCTTCCTTTCTTTTTCCTTCAGAACTGGTCAGTGGTTTGTGATTCACCTCGCTCCCATGTTTACCTGACCCAACATTCCTAGCAAAATAAAAAGAGCAGCCTCAACCCTTACATTCTCTCTTCTTTGCCCATCCAGGAAAACACAAGAGAGATTCTAAACCTGAAAGGAGCAACCCTATAAACTGTGGGAAGCCATACAGTCCAAGGCAAGGAGAGAAAGGCAGAGGGAAACATTCTGACCTTTCCTCACACAGAGCTGCCTCTTTTGCTCCTGAAGGACATGCCTCTGGACTTCCTTCTGGAGGCTTATGAAGGCCTGCTAGGATAGAAATGAAGCTTCGGGGCGAAAGCCAAATTATAGCAGGCTGGTTCCAGCCAAGAAATGAAAAAAGGGGAACCAGGGTTTTACTTGGCTTTTTTTGGGGGGGTGGGGGGGTGGCCTTGTTCCAAGCCCTTGTTGTGCTTCAGCTCATTTTTGACTGGTCCAGTGAGACTTTACTACGAATAAACTTTTGAACCCCTCTTCTTCTTTCTGTGAAGGCTTTTTGTTTTTTTAGATTGGTGTCTCCCTAAATATCACCTAATCCCCTTGATGTGTATTTGGATTGGTTTATTTTCAAATTCTCTTCTTTTCTCTGCCAAATGCTCTCTCATAGAAGGAAAGAAGCCATCAGGATCTCCTTTTCTTTTTTTTGGATCCATATGTCATTTTTACCATTATCGTTAAATCTTTCTTCAGTTCTGCTCAAAGTTAATGTATTGCAAGCAAATCCAACTCCCCAACTCAGTTAAAAGGAGTTGGATTTGAATGGATAGGCCTACCCGGGCCAAAACAAAATCTGAGACCAAGCCCTATTGATTAATCCCACCATGCCATATTTAATTTATATTTTGTTGCAGTCTGTATTGCTAATATTTTGTGCATTGTTTTATTTTCAATTTACTCTTAATTCTAGTGTTTAACTGGATTGTTACTCATACTTACTAAAGCCATCATAATGTTAGCCATATTTTAAGAACACCATGATAGTTAAATATTGGATATTGAATAACTTTGATTCTAGAGCCTTTATGTTGGGTCAATAAAATTGGAAGAGTTTGTTATATGTGTGTAAATGGATTTAATTAACCAAGAACTGACAGTATTTAAAAATCCTTTGGTGGACATGCTTTATTTGGTGATGTAAAATTTGAGTCTAATTCCTAAGCAACACTTCCATTTATCCTTTCTCAAAATTGCATATATATATTTTCTGGCATGGATCCAGGGTGTCTTAGAACCACCTCACTCTAATGATACTAGCCCATCCCACACATGCTAGTAGAAGACTCCTGCTACGGACCCTATCTACTAAGGATTTCCAATGGGCAGGGTCAAGAAGAAGAGTCTCTTTTGGTGTAGAAGACTCTACCACTACAGTTGAGAACTGTTATGATTCTGGCCTTCCAGGAGGGTATTAAAACTTGGTTTTGTGGTTTGGCTTGGGACTCTAGAGATGATTGTTTGGGCAAGAAGACCACATCTTCATGCCATTCATCTCTTTGTTCTATTTTTTTGCATAGTTTTAAATTTTTTATTGACCTTTTATTTATTTTTTAATGATCTGTAAGCCACCCAAAATCACTATATCAGGGAGATGGGTGGGATATAAATGTAATAAAAAATAATAAATTTGAATAGCAATAGCAATAGCAGTGGACTTATATACCGCTTCATAGGGCTTTCAGCCCTCTCTAAGCGGTTTACAGAGAGTCAGCATATTGCCCCCNGAATAACTGGAAAGTAGTAATTTCTTTCTTTACAGGGAGTTCTTGGGCCCATTCATCTAGGCTGAAGATGCATTTTGGAAAACCAGAAAGGATAGCTATCTGCAAGCAGCCAGGCAGGGCATCTATCTTTCAAGAAAAAAAAGGACAAGGCAAGGATAGGATATCATCCTTCGGCTACAGGTGGCAACTGAAGCACCTTTCCTAGTCTCCATTTTCAATGTCTTTCTGGGATACTTCTGGTGTTTTTCTAGGAGTTGCTAAGCACAGATGAGTTAAAAAGAGCCACAGTTTAACCAAATATGTTATGTTCCCATTCCGTGTTGATAGTAAAAGGTGAGGCTGATTAGACTCAATGCCTAGAGGCAGTCAGAGAGTCCCTCTGGAAGCAAGATTAATTGTGTATGTCTTGATTCACATTCCCTCTGGATTTTAAATAATAGTTATTTTATAATTTTGTAGTCTGGTCTTCACAACATACCCAATTCCGAAATGTAGATTCTGATTTATTATCACACAATAAGATCCTATCATTCTAAGGCTCCTTTAAAAAAAAAAAGAATTTAGTCTGTAGTTCCCATAGCTGAAGAAAAATGGCTTTAAATATTACAATAAGCCTTCTTTTACTGCCTTTTCTCTGACATTACCTTTCACTCTTATTCATGCACCCAACCAATAACTTGCCTCTTCAATATCCCATTAAGCCCCCTTCCCCCTTCTTTTTCTCATTACAAAAGAACTAACATCTCCTCCCATATAATTTAATGGAACAGAAATGGATTATCTGCCAAGGGAATGTAAATGAGAGAGAGAGAGAGAAAAAAAAAAGATTAATGGGAAATTCTAAATTCCTCTGGCAATGGTATTTGTGATTATGTGAGGGCTTCAGAAGGTTGCTTGGCTTTGGGAAGCAAGCCCAGAAATGAATTTTGTCTATAAGTTTGTGTGAATGTGTGGATATCACATGCTGACTCCACATAATGCCAGTACTGTAATATCCCTTGTGCATATAATGGGGGTATAAGCTGTGAAAATTACTAAGCATCTTAATAAAGACTCATATAACAATTACAGAGGATTGGTAGTTTTGTCTAGTGGTTAAGCCAGCAGGCTAGAAACCAAGAGGCTGTGAGTTCTAATCCCATTTTAGGCAGGAAAGCTACCTGGATGCCTTTCAGCCCAGCCCATCTCACAGGGTGTTTATTGTGGGGAAAATAGGAGGAGGAAGGCGTATGAACCCCACCATGAGTTATAAAAATAAGGTGGAAAATAACAATAAATAAATAATAAAATAATTCATCAGTAGCTATTTTCTTATTAAAAAAATAGCCCTTCCATGAAATCCCTGAGACATTAGTCCAGGTGGCATGTACTTCTATCCAGCATGCTCTCTGTTGTTATGCATTCAACTTTTCTATCGCTGCACACTTTCGGGGTATGTAAGGTACAAATGTAACTTCCCTAAGGAATCCTTGTGTTAGGCTTCTAGCCATTTATCTCTGATGCCCATTGAACTTGGTGTGTCTGTGATCACCTAGTTACTTGTCAATAGCACTTTTTTTTTTTTTTTGCTAAAAGGCCACCTCCTATGGCAAATGGAGAAAGAAAGGCAGAATTGGAATGGAAGGTTGGAGGAGAGAGAATTGTTGGCGTTGATTGACATTCTCACCATTCCTGAGTCTCCTGGCACCTGAGCTTGGTTACACAAGTGGCCTTTGGAGATAGTCTTTGCATACACACCCAGCCAGTTTGTTGAGCAAAGAGCAGTTAGTCTGACAGGATGGAGACAGGGGGAAGAGAGGGGAAATGAAGGGGATGCAGCCCATCAAGCTGGAGAGCCAACAGCATGCAAAGTAGGCCCAAAGGCAAGGATGCAAAACCCGAAAGTCCACAGAATATAATATTGGGATTCAAGTGGCCTCCTGACTTTGGGATAATTTTGGGCTGAGTTGACAAGGAAGAGTTAAAAGCTGACTGGATGCAAAGGTGCCATGATGGGTATTGGGGAGACAGACCAGATGTTACACAGAATCCTGTGTAAGACAGAGTTAAGGGAACTGATAGGGCCAGGTTGCATTCTTCTAATTCTGCAATTAGCTATCACCCTCACCGCTGGTTCTAGAATCCCTTTCGGATTCTAGATTCATGTCTTTCATCTCACTTTTCTTTTAACTTAACCCCATCTAGAAAGACCAGAGTGTCCACTCCTCTGAGTGTCACATCTCAGTTATCCCACCCCCTTCCAGATGCCCTGATCTCACCATGAAATCGCCTTCCTGGATCCCGTGCTAGTTGCACAGCCATGCACAGTCCGATGCCTGAAGAGCAGCCGGTGATCAGCACAGTGCGTGGAGCTGCCTTGGCCATGGCTGAGCTGCAGTGAAGTGTGCCCGAAAGGATCAGGCTGGAAAGCAACAGTAAAGTCCAGCATGTGATCCAGGGATCAGCTGAAGGCTTGAGAGGGTGACAAGGTGGAGGCAGTGCCTAACTCCTATTGGCAGATGATTAACCCTCCAAATCTTTATCAGCCTTTCCCAAAGCTTCTCGACTTCTCCATTCCTTTCAGCTGTTCTATCTTTGCTCAGCACTGATGCAACCTATTCTCATGGGTTAATACCTGTGAAACGCTATAAAAACTAAAGATATGAAATGAATTATAAACTTTGCCACAGTGTGGATTGTTAATCATTAAGTTTTAAACAAACAACCATCCTCAGATTGTAATGTATGTGGGAAAGACCACAAGAGACAAGGTCAAGAGACTCTGGAAACAGTTAGATAAGAGGCTGCATAGCCCACCACTAGATAGTGGGAGGGGTATCAGGTTGTGAGCTATGCACTCTCCTATCTGACCATGCCCTAGGTGCCCTTATCTTCTCAAAGTCTTTCCCACGTACCATTATATCAATTGAAAAATTGTTATAGTGTCAAACTCAGGGGTGTCAAACTCACGTCGTCACAGAGGTGTCCTGTGATGTATCAGGACTTTCCCCTCTTTTGCTAAATTGGGCGTGGGCGTGGCCAGTGCATGACAGGATTTTGACAGCCCTGCTATAGGTTAATATAATTGTTTTGTTTTGTTTTGTTTTGTTTATTAGATTTATATGCCGCCCTTCTCCCAAGGACTCAGGGCAGCATACAACATTAAAAAAAACCCACATATTACAAAAGTTAAAAAGAATTAAATAGAATATCCCAAACAAACCCAATTAAAATTAACAATGATCAATAATTTATTTTGTTTTGTTCAGGCCAGGCTGGCTTGCTGNGGTTCTACCGAATAGGTGCGAACTGATAGGAACCCACCTCTGCACTGTATCTATCATCTCGCTCTGCTTATTGCAAGATCTCCAGGAGTGACTTGCAACATTTTCTAGAACTGGCCAACTACAGGGCCAATGTAAATATAATAACAATAGGCTTCAGATCTCTCCAAAACACCACTGAACAAAATTGGTATTTATTTCTCTGCGTACAGGATTTATTTGTGCTTCTGTCCAATTGTGTGACTAAGATCACACAATTTGGACAGAAGCAGTAATGTTTTGAATATGATCACACAATTTCTGGTTTTAGTGGTTTAAGGTCACAAATTTCACCCCATGTGATCCTTAATTGTAAAGCATGTAAGAGTTTGTTGTGTCTTGGGATAAGTTAACAAAAAGCTTGTGTTGAGGAAACCCCCAAAACTGAATGAATGCTGAAAAGTTTAAAAACTTTTAACCTTAGGAACAAAGCTGGAGTGTGCTTTCAGAAAGTGATATCAAAAATGTTGATTGATGGAAGCATCTAAAAAGCACCACAGGGTAAAAAGATGTGGCCAACTGAGAGGCTGATAGCGATAATCTTGGTGATCTCTGGATCAGTCTCTGAAGCTCAGCATGGCTGAGTGGTGCCAGGTGCTTCAGCCCTCTGCTTGCCTTCTGGCAGATGTTCCACCCAGAGGAAACACAGAAGCACAGTAGTGTTTCTGAGTAAAGAGCAGCATTGCATAGCTTTCATTCCCCCGCTTTCTTAAATCCTGTGTCCCAACATGCCTGGATTCCCCGGGGGCCTTTCTTGGTCTGCAAGGCTGAATACTAATTAACGTTCCATTTCTTCTGCTGAATCCAAGCATTCGGGGAGCCCTTCAGAAAAAGCACACTTATTCCCTACCCCTCTTCAAAACTTTGGTATGCATATCCTACTGCAGGCACACTGTGAATATCAGTTCTGCTGCCCTGATGGCCTTGTAGCTGTAGCTGTCACCCTCTGCAGTCTGTGAAATCTCCATTAATACATAGCCCGAAGCTGAAATCTGTGCTCGTGAATACAACTCAATGTCCTATCTCTGCCCTGGAACTCAATCACTACTGTCCAGCTCAGTGTCTGGGAAGCATTTATACCACATTAGCCTTACTGAGCAAAGGAAGCGCCTCGGGTCAAGTTGGGCCATCGAAGCATCTAGGTCACGGTTCTCTGCACAGAAGAAATAGATGTCCTGGATTGAGACTCCTGCACATAAAACACAATCTCTCCATTGTGGGAAGACTGGGAGGACTGGGAGAGCGCTGCTCTGGGCATCCATGCATCTTCAGAGCAAAATAAAAAAAATAAAAAATGAGCCTCTGAATTTATTGTGGAGGGCTCCGGATAAGTCAACACTGAGAATTGTTATTCAATGGTAAATAGGAAAAATCTGTGTCCTGCCAGATCTTGCTGAAATATCAAAGCCAGTCCTTCAATTCGGAGGAATGTTATGAAGTGGGGGTAGGGATGGGTGGAGGTCAGGGACTGTTTTGAGCATGGTTGCATATGCGATGGAAGAGAGAGAGAGCGGGGCAAAGGAATAAAGAAGGAAGAGAAATTTAGAATTTGAAAGGTCTTGTACAGATTAAACGTGGGATAGTTTTTTCAGTGATTGAGGGGTTTATCCCAGAATCTGGTTTTTGAGGCCATGGCATACAGACATGAGATATTTTAGTAAAGGGCTAAATGCAGTGGTGGGATTCAAATAATTTAACAACCGGTTCTCTGCCCTAATGATTTCTTCCAACAACCAGTTCACCAAACTTCTCAGAAAGTTAACTGGTTCTCCCAAAGTGATGCAAACTGGTT